ATTTAGATTTTATTCAGTTAAAAAAAAAAAGAACATAACCAACAAAAAAACGGGTGATGCTCGTCACCCGTCCCAGGCCAAGGTACGCGATTTATCTTCCTCTTCTTCTTCTCCGCTTCATAACTGTAACCATCAAACACTTTCACAATTTTACAAAAACCTGCAACTTTTGATTTTCTAAACCAAATTGAGTGATTCAAAATCCTAATCCGTGCGGATTTTGCTCTTCTTTCTGAATATCTACTCACTTTTTAAGATCTGCAAGGTATGTGTTCGGAATCCCTAATTTTCAGTCTGTCATAGGTTTGGTAAAATCTGATTTTTGACTTGATTAGCTTGATTTAACTGTTGAATCATGATTAGTTAGGTTGTATTAGAGGAATGGAACCATCTTTGTGAGCTTTTATCGGTTGCTTTGCAAGTTTTGAATTTTCGAGTTCATGATGAACTTGGCAAAAATCTGTAAATTTTCGGTGATTTGGGTTGAACTGATGCTTGAATTGTGTTCCTGGTAGTGTTGTAGTCGATCGCCATCAGTTATTTCACCTTGATTGATTGATTTTTTGAATTTTGAATAATTTGCTAATTTTGGTCATGTTTTTGGTCGATTTTGAACTTGAATTTTCAGATGCCTAGACAGGAGAAACGACCAAGACAAGGCTCGTCTTCAAGCATTGCATCAGGCTCTACATATTCATTCAGTCATTACCTGGTTTGCAGGCCTCCATGGCCCAAGCGAGAAGATCGGAAAATAGCCTCAGGAGTGGCTTGAGCAGGGACTCCGAAGCAGGAAATATCACGGGACACCTGTATATTCTGTGATATATAGGAGGAGTGGGATGAGTATGACACGCTGTTCTACAATGCGTGGCTGGGAGTGAAGATTGTCCCCACCAGATTCGCAGATCCTACTGTTCTGCAGAAGATGGGCATCTTCGAGGAGGTTTCAGAGATTCTGGAGAGGATCGGGATGGGCACTATGCCATTTCAGCAGTATGATCTGTATCCAGATTTGGTCCGCCAATTTCTCTCTACTGCTCGCGTCTACTACGCAAATGAGCTGGCGAAGTGTGCGCAGGAAGGCACATTGACATTCCTGGTATGCGGGGTTCGTTACAGGATTAGTCTGATGGAGCTTTGTGGGATTTATGGTTTCTCTGACCACCCCACAGGCGTTCTCCTTCCCTCTCTGTGGACTCACATGCGGACATTCTGGTCCAAGTTCGGGAATAGAGTCTATGACAGCAAGACTAGCACACAGACAGAGGTTCGACATCCTGTCTTGAGGTACATTCTGCGCCTTTTTGGCCATACCATACTGTGCAAGTCTGTGCCTAGCAAGACACGGGTTAGTGAGCTGATTCTCTTCTACTACGGACTCTATGAGATGCTTGATGATGTGATCCCTATCGATAACATGATTCGCGCCAACTTGGGCGCTGTGTTCGCTGAGCATTTGGTCTCCTTGAAGACCAAACCGTTCACCAGTCCAGGGGAGAAGACCGAGAGCGTTTGCAGCCTTCTGACACCTATCTTCCATCATTTCTAGATCGATGTCACTCCCTGCAGTGTGCTCAGTGCCAGATTACTCATGGATGACCATTATCTGAGCCATGTCACTTGGCTCAAGATTGGCGTTGTCTGGACTTTTACTAATACTTCTGGAGAGTATGTTGGCATTCGGTTGCCACAGAGAGCCCTCACTACGATTCAGGGAGTCCCATGCCAGATGTTCTTCATGCCAGATCGGACTCTGCTGCGCCCTTTAGCTCTGCATCCTGCTAGAGCTGCTACAGGTGGCGCCTCTGCTTCTACTACAGCTGCTGCTGATGCTGGACCATCTACACGCCAGACTACCTCCTCCACTGCTTTCAGGCGCCCACCACGACCACAAACACCCATGGATTTGGCTGCTTTTCAGGAGTATGTCATTGACAGCTTTGAGGGACTCTGGGATGCTGTTGCTACACTTAGCAATTGCGGTTGTGTCCACCCCCATTACACCACTGAGCCTTGCGAGGATGAGGACTGAGGCTCTACTATCTGGTTACTTGTTTCTTTTTCTCTTTTATTTTTATTTTTCTTGAGTCATTTTTTCTGTTTTCTTTGAGTCAGTTGCTAGTTTCTTTGAAGATGTTTTATCAGATTGTTGAACCAGGTTCTTATTGCTATGTTTGGATGTTATTAATTGTGTGTTTGAGTGGTCTAATAGTCTAACTTTAGAGTACACAAGACAACATAATGTTAATAACCATCTAACTTGATGATTGTGAAATACAGGTCGTGGTGACGCTCGTCACCCGACCCCTGCGAGATAACACTTTTTCGCCTTGGTTCAACGACTTCTCATTCATTTTTTTAACCAACTCTTGGCTTAATAACACAGGGGATAGTGTTGTTTAAGTCTGGGGGAGGTGGTTACTGACGTTGTGTGCTTTGTGTCATGTTTATAGAGTCTTAAAGTTGAGTCAAAAACCTGTTTTTATGGACTCAAAATTTTGAAATTGTCATTTTTCTTGGAACTAACCATATGACGTTTTTTCTTATAAGAACCATTGCCACAGTAGTTTATTACAAGTCTTACTAAGTTGAAAGTCATAGGTAGATCAGTCTAGCAATGAAGGTTTAGGTTCTTAGAGAATCTGGAAAATTTGCTGTTTGCTCCACCTTATCGAACTTTAAACTTCTTGTCTTGGGGCTTGGTTCTTATTGATCTTGATTCTCTCTTTCAGCACTGGCAATAAGGTTAAGATACAGTCTCTCTTCGATCTTCTCTGATGTAGTTTTGAAAGTTTAAGTCCAAAGAATGGTGCATTCATGACCTTGTCTCCTCACAAGGAACAACAGTAATGAAAACACTCAGGAACCTGTCTCCTCACAAGGAACACAAGTATTGAGTAGCACCATATCTTAGACTGTAAAAGTTGAGAAAAAGAAATGAAAAATCGAAAATATCCAAAGGAAAAGATCAAGGGAAGAGAAAATAGGAGAGCTGTGTTGTATTGGTTTGTTCAGTTGTTAGGAAGAGAAAATAATCTGTAAAGTGATTGAGATGATAGAACCATTGATGAGATTTCACACTTAGATAAAAAATAAGGAGTTAGTAGTAGAGATTTTGGATTTCTTGAAAGGATTTGGACTGGACTTGAGAGATTTGCTAAGCTTATGATGATTAGATTGAAATTTGATCTTGTGTTGACTCTGTGGTATGTGGATTCGAAAGTTCAAACCAGTGTGGTGTTCCTGATGATTGACATACTGTTTCTTGTTTTCAAACCTCGACCTTATTCTTTGTCTGATGTTTGCTTGAGGGCAAGCAAAAGCTAAGTCTGGGGGAGTTGATATATCATGGTTTTTAACCATGATATAAGTCATTTTTTTTGAGTCTTTTTGGTCTTTTTAGAGTCATAGAAGAGTTTTTGCAGGTTATAGCATGTCTGGAGCATAATTGGAGATATTGAAGCTTTTTGGAGCATTGTAAGTTAAAGCCACGAAGTATCCAACTCGGGAAGAAAAGTATCCATATAGGTGACGCTCGTCACCACCTATGGTGACGCTCGTCACCCACCAAGGAAGGAGGTCGTGGCTATTTATTAAAAGATGAAGCATTATTTGCAGAATTGGCCCAAAAGTTTCATTATTTGCAAGAAGACCTCAGATCGTGTTTAGCCTCTATTTATTAGGTTTTTCAGACATTGTTGGCTTTTCTCTTAGTTTTTGAGAATTCAGAGAGCTGAGAGAGAGATTTATTTAGAGCTTTTTGGGGAGACAAATCATGTACTCTTTTGAGAAGATTTTGAACCCCCTTATTCTTTTACTCTTTTTCTTAATGCAATTTTATTCAGTTATGTTTTGTGATTCCATAATCATGTAGAGTAATCTGCTAGTTAAGTTAGGGCTTTTTCAAAGATTGATGAAGAGTTTATAGAATTGCTACTTGTTAGAAATATCTTTTGGTTTTTCATCTCTGCTTGCTTTAAAATCGAATTTCTGAGACACATCATCTAGGAATCCGAAAATCATAGGTTGTTAAATATATGTGAGAGCATTGTTGATAACCTGAACTAGTATTTGATGAGCAAAACAACTTAGTGCAAAGAGATTTGACTTAGGAGTTTTGTGAACAATTGAATCTGATCATTCATGCATGCTTAGGTTGTTAGGGTTTGCAAAGAGATTTGAAACCCTGTGATTTAGGCATAGATAACTTCTGCAATGAGAATTGATTAGTTATACATCAGTGATTCATGTTTAAAACGGTTCTTAATCATTCATGATTTCATGCATTCTACATTCTTGGATTCAACCTACGAACTATCCTGACTTAGCGCTATTAGTCTTCTGAAACTTAGATCATCTTACAAAATCGCTTGTTTACTTTTATTTAATCATTCGCATTACATACATTACATTCTGCTTAGCTTGATCTGAACCTACATTCGATAGTGTAGTTTACAATACTCTCTTAGGATTCGATACCCCTTGTACTACAACTGCTTTTGTTGTGCACTTGCAATAGTCTTATTTGGGTAAAACCTAAGCCCTATCAAACCTCATCAGCGATTTAGTAGGCAATCTAGTCAGAATCTTGATCTGGAGATCCAAAGGAATCTCCAAGCTGTCTCATTTTCCACTTCTTCTCATCGCCCTTGATGACCTCCTCTTCTCCAAGCTGTCTCCTTTTCCTCTTCTTCTCATCGCTCTTGACAACCTGCTCTTCTCCAAGCTGCCTCATTTTCCTCTTCTTCTCATCGCCCTTGACGACCTGTGAACGGCCGAAACCATCACTACTGCTATGCCCGTCTAATTCACCCTCACGGCCTTAATATATATACATCTGACCGAATCCCTCACCTTATACGGAATTGGAAAATTTGATAAATTTTACTTTTTTTTAAGAAGTTGTGAGTCAGCAGAACTAATCTGATATATGTTTTAATTTTTTTCAACAGAAAAATATGTAAAGGGGGCAGAAAGTATAAAACCCATAACCTTAGGATTCAGAGAGAAGAAAGAACATAATGAGGTTGCAACATTCCCTTCTCGGCAAGGAGAGTTGTGAGAAACTTTGGTCTCCATTCTCTCTGTACCACCATCCCTGCTTTCCCGCCTTTCACCGTTATGAATGGATCAATTGAGCGAGAGCGTCCGATGGTGAAGCTGTTGTTATCATTCGAGAAGCTCTCAAACTCTCTCCTTTATCTTCCCTACAAATTAACAGTATTTTCAGTTCTATTAAAACCCAAAAAAACTGCAACCAGATTGACAAACTGGAGAGCATCGTGTTGTAGTTACTTACATCATGAGCCCCGGGGAGAAGTCTGGCTTGTTGAGACTGATTCCAGCGTTGTACTTGATTAGTGACGACGAAGCTGCCTCGAAACCAACCCAAGGAGTTGGGTTGAGGCCAATGCTGAAATATATAGCAAATAATCTGGTCAAATAGTATTGACTGACATATTTCCATAAGACTGAGGCTTATAGTAGTCGTTTCTCATATGGGTTTCTCATATGGGCTATGCGCTGAGCTTGCCAGACTTATGATGAGGCTATATTGAAGCTGATAACAGATTTAGCAGATGGCATTAGATTTTTTGACAGTTACTTTTGCCGACACCTGCATAAACATGTTTGAGAATGTCTCGACGAACCGTTCATGCAGAAGTAACTGCAAGAGCTTTTATAACCAGAAAGGAGAATATCTTTTGACCTGCCCATTGAACAAGAAGGATGATCAGAAATGTAAAGATTGTTGTTTGCACTAAATGATTTGTCGATGATAGAATCAGATTCTGATAAAAGTATATATATAGAGACAAGAATGAATAGAGAAAGAAGATGGAGTTGATGAAATGGAGCAGGTGAGGTGATTTAGCTTTTTCCATTATCTTATCTGGTTCTCCACAAGATTTGAATATTAATTTTGTCAAAATTGCTAAAGCTGTAATGTAAAACAACCCAAAGATTAATATTTTTTTTTCATTCTTTCTGCTAATATAAACTCGTTAAAAAAAAGTTTCAATCCGATCATACCTTGAAAAAGTTTATTCCTTTGATACCTATGAGTTTGGCCAGATCACTGTTTCGGCATAAGAACAGAATAAGTAGTTGAACACAAAGATTATATATCTTAGAGAATGAGGATGAAAAAATTGAAAATAGGAAAAAACTATTTTTAATTAAGAACCCGAGGAACCACTGAAAAAAATATATAAAATTAGAAAAAAAATTTGAAATAAAATAAAATAAATAAATGAAAAATGAAAACAAAGAGAAAATAAAATTACCAAATGAAAGAAATATGATATGTTAACTGAAGACTGGAGATTTTTCCCTATTTGTGAAAACAAATCGGTAATGGGAGGCACCAGATCTTCGAAGAGAATGACTGGATATTCGACAGGAGGCAGAGGTTGAGCTGCAATACCTGAAATAGAGGAATAGAATTTTAAAGAACGAAAAAATGAAGAGAAAATCTCATTTTTCTTTTAAAATTTCCTTGAATCTAGGCTATATCCAAATTCTATGAAATTATTGATCCAATAAGTCATCTCTTAAAAATATATAACATTTTTACTTATCTCTCTAAATATTTATGACCATGAAAGAACCAAATTAAGTAGTTGGTGATGAGAAAGATAGTATCAATCTTCTCAAAGCTAACTTTATATACAAATAAACTTTTACTCTTACCAAAGATTTATACCTCAAATGTTTTAATGTTTTTTAGAAAGACGAAAGTTTCTTTGTAAATAACAAACAAAATTTTAAGTGTGTTTTTTTTGTGCAAAAGTTGATCTGCTAACTAAAAAATCTAAAATGAATCAAGCTAATCCGCGGCTGAAAAACCTGCAAATGAGAAATGAACATCTATATATTAGAAAATACGAAATATATTATTTACTGGCATATAAAGAAAGTGGTAAGCAGTATTATTATTGATCAGAAAATTCAAAATACTAATCATATTTTACGGCAGGGTTAAAAACTTGGCCAAAATTTTGTGACCGATTGAATTATAAGTCTAACTATTGGATAAGGTGTAATAAAGTATAATTCGATATGTAGAACTTTCCCAATTTAAATAATTTGTTACAAAGTGAAACAATTACCGTATGTTGACGTACTGAATAAAGTAAATTTTTCATACATCCACCTTCCTATCAAATATTAAGTCATCTGATACTATGTTTGAATCTGCACCAAAGTTTAGTGATAAAATATACGCGGGAAACCATAGATTCCAAAATAATTACAGCATTATGCCATCATCAGTTTACTAACTGCCACGTGTGTCAAATACATCGGAGTCCGAAGATTGAATTGACGAAACAATCGCAGATCCACCCGACCCAAAATACAAATCCGACAGATAATTCCCAATATCTTCAGGGGCAAATCCGACATTCTTTCGTAACCCGACCCGATACTTTTTATAGTACTCCGAGTAAGTTGGTATCAGCATCATAGCAGCCGAAACCTTCATCTCGTCTCTCAATTTTGGATCCGGTACGACCCAACCGGTTTGCCTCTTGTACGCTTCCTCGAACCGGTTACTAAACCGTCTGATAACCTCCTCCGCCGTCGGAAGTGACGTCTCCATCACCATCACCATCACCATCATCTCTCCCCAAACGATCTCCTCGAACTTGGCGACGTACTTCTTCACCTTCCCTTCGTGCTTCTCCAACCAATCGTCGCTCAGAATCTCCTTTAGATTCGATGTACGGACCTTGACGACGACGTAATGGAGATTGTTGATGAGGAAGAGATACGAGAGAGCCACGTCGTTGTAGAGACGAGATTTCGCGTCGATTTTGCAGAGCAAGAACAGGATCAGCCACGAGATTCGTTTAGCGAGCGGCGACGACGATGATGAATCAGCTTCGCCGGAGGAAGAAAGTAACGAAGAAGTTTGGGGGATGATATCGGAGAGCGTGTCGCTGTAATCAGCGAGGAAGACGATGAAATTCATGACGTACCTAGTGAGCTGGTGGATTCCGCCGCCGGAGACTAGGGATTTCGAAGATTCTTTCGAAATCGACGACTCGAATTCGTCCATCATTGAAATTACTCCTTCTTCGAGATTTGTTAGGGTTTCGGCGATCTGCGATTTGACGGAAGAGGTTGAATCGTAGCTGAAAACTTCTTCGATTGTTGGCAAAAGCTCAATGATGGATTGGTAAACGTCGAGCGTGAGGAAGATTTTCTCGGGAGATTTCCGGGATTTCGCCATGTTTCCCGGGAAAGAGAACATCGCCAAAGCGCTCTGTAGTGTGATCTCGGCGAAGGAAGATTCTCGAATCGCGGAGGAAGAAGAAAAGACATGATCGGAGAGAATTCGTTCTCCGTAGAACAGAGTCATCACAGCTCTTCTCGCTACTCGTAACCATTTTCTTATCTTCTTCTCCATAATCCCCCAATCAAGCTTCTGCATCTGCGAGAAACTCAGATTCTCGAAACCGAGTTGATCCAGAGCTTCGACGATGATCGATTTCCGGATTTTTTTGTAAATCCTCAAGCATTCTTTGCCGTAACCAGAGGAAATCATGCAATCGGCGATCATCTTCAAATCCGCCATAGCATCTGCATCTTCTTCGTCTCTTGTCACACTTTTCGAATTCCGACTCTCGAGTTCTTCATCATCTGATTCTGAATCAGAGATTGAAGACATCCGAGACCGAACAGAGACGGATTCCGGATCAAGATACCGTCGATTCGATTTCAGAATCCGGTAAAACTCTTTAGATAGATGATTCATGGAGATTTTCATCAAATTCTCTGCTCGAACCAGCTTCATGGATCCTGGATTCACCGAGACCAGCCTCACCATTCCAGAGTGCAAGCTGTTGACAGCTCCGATGAATCGTTTAGCTTCTTCTCTGTTCCCTGTTGAAAAAAGCGAGGAGACGCAGCAGAAAGATGAAGAAGCAGAAGAAGAAGAGTCGAGAAGTTCAGGTGAAATCCATTTATGAATGATGGCTTCAGCGTCTTCAATACTATCTTCCATTAAAGACTCAGAGAAGCTATGGTGTGAATTTTGTTTTAGCTTAGAAGGATTTGTTAAAGCAAAGAGAACCATTCTTTTTGTATGCGTAAATGATTAAGTGAAGATTCTGGTGAAATGATTCGTGTGGAACATATATACAATTTATAGTGTACATTCTCTTGTATTTGGTCCTTTTGACTTGAGTTATTTTAATTTGAATTAATAATAATAATAATAAAACGTGGGACAATGACAGGTTCGCGTGTAGATGCTTTTTACTTTAGTATAGATTCACCGTGTACATGCAATTACGCTCATGCAGAAGAATTATTAGATAAAATTTAATTGTATTTACTGCGTTTTTTTTGTAACCATGATATTTTCGGGTCGTGCCTATTTTTGTTTACGTTTTTTGACCAAACCTATTTTTGTTTAGGTTTTAGACGAGTTTTAAGAACCGGCCTCGTCTTCTGTTTTAAGAATTTTTTACAAAAAGTTACACTCATAACAACAAGGAAACAGATTAATTCATAGTTACACGTGCAAATCCTTAAGTGGGAAAAAAATTGTGTAAAATTTATCAGATGGACAAGAAAAAAGAATTGTGTAAATCCCAAATATATTCATTTCTTCTTTTTTTTAAAAAAAAAATCCATATCTTTGTTGCTTAGTGTAAAATTATGTTTTTTCACAAAACTCAAATGATCAAATCTTCTATCTGAAATGATACTATATCAGCTCAGCTCTTGAGCCTTGACCAGCATAATCACACACTACGACCGACCATAAAACACAGTCTAAAATAAAAGTTACCATAAAAATGTAAAAGGTACCGTCCAAAAACGTAGCATTTAACTAATTACGCTATAAAAGAAAATTTACGCTATAAATTATAATTACGGTGTAACATCATTCCTTTCGACTTTCGTACATATTTCTTGGCTGTTTCGTACTTACGTTACTACATAAATAAAAGAATTAATTAATAATTTCAAAACTATATGTAACGTCCACTAACAATACTATATTTTTTGCTACAAAAATTAATCCAATAACAATTCTTGCATACCCAAATTTGTCGACCAAAAATACTCATTTCTTTGGAATCCAACTTTGACCATTTTCAATTTTTTCGAATTACAATATATATATATATATATTCGGTTTTGACACATATAGATTAGACGTTCGATGGCTTAATTTGTATGTTTCAACATTTGAAACGAAGACTAAGAAGAACGAATACATTCCAGAAATATTTTATTGCAACTAGCCGTTATTGTGGTCCATCAATGACTCATTTCCTATGCAAATTAGGGGAAAATGTCAGTATATATATATATATAGTTATTTATTTATATATTTATTAAAAGGAGGAATAAATATTAAAATCAAGACCATCGTGTAGTTATTTGGTCATTTTCTTGTCGAAAAATATATACTTACGTTTCCTCCCAAATCCCAATTCATACTTAGTCTCACCTAAACCATTACACCAGCCGCGTCGATGGCTGCTCCATTAGCAAATGCAAAAAAAAAGAAAAAAAAAAGATATTAGTTTGTTTTGCAATTTTAAATCTTATCTGCTAAATAAAACAATACTACTTGATGATACTACAGACCTTAAAAGTTGGGTTGGTAACCAAATTTTTGGGTCAAAACTGGAGTAGTATCAAGATTTGTGATAATTAATCAGAAAAAAACCGTTACTTGTAATGTACCGTACAATATAAATTGAACCAAAATGAAATTTGATTAATTTTTAGTAAATTCATTACAGCTGTTAATTTAAAGAATGGTTTACAACAGTACTGTCAGTACCGCGTTACTGAACGTAATCGTTAACATTTATGTTTACAGAATCCTTTAACAAAAAAAACAAAATTATGGTTACAGAATGTCAAAATGAAAATTGTATCGACATTACTTGTCTCTTTCTTCATTTATATCATTCACTTTTTTAAAAAAAAAAACACAAGGAATCCGTATCAAATTCGTTTTCTCCTCAATATAGAAAAAGGATGGATTTTCAAAGTAAGAGCTGTCTTTTTGTTTGTTTATCCTTCAAGTTAAGGATTATGAAACGTTATGAATTTGGGAAAATTTTATACGACTATCAAACTCTTACCACTTTTGAAGTTTGAAGGAAACGTAGAATTAAATTATATGTAGAATGACTTCGTCTCATTTAGTATTTATTTGCTTTGAATGTTGTGAAATCTGATATCATGGTCGATAGAAATTACATCTTTTTATCTTTCTAACAATTTTTTTTTTGCAGATTAGTTTATATACCATTTTGGATAAAGGCTTTAAATTGGAGGAAAATAAGAAGCATTACAATAGTATGTAACTAAACTTCTATGTACAGTTGGTAATTGGTATGAAAACATAAAATAAAAGTTTATATCCTCGTTTCTGTTTAGTGATTGCCTAATTAAACTACTGACGTTTTATGAAATGTTTAAATCATCTTTCATTCACATTATACAACAAAAATAATACTGGCATTTGTTTTTGCTATTCTCATCAACGGCAAAAGCAGACGAGTTACATTTGTCAAATCGTGATGCTTTAAGTTAGATCAAACAAAAGTAAAGACAAAAATCATAAATGTCACATCTAGAAACAAAATGTTATGAGACGCGTTACAATAAAGATGTGGAGAATGCATACGTTTCGGGAAACGTTTACAGACAAAATGTGGAAATAGGGTCAAGAGAAAGAAAAAGGAATAAGAGTTAAAAAATGGTATGATAAAGTTGTGATGAGAAAATTGTAATAGCATGAGTTCGGTCGAGCTTAGTGGGTGGTGCCTTTCGATTGGGAAAGCGACTCTTTGACAAGGCATCGTTACTTTAATGTATACTTTCTTAGTAAAGCTCTTAATTCCATTAACTTAAGAAACAATATGTATTCAACTAATCAATAACCAAAAAAGTATTTGGGGAGATTTGTATATAAAACTGATAATCACTTAGGATGTCCCTCTTAGAACTATTCTCGAGAGTGACTCTACAATATTTTTAAATGTGAACAATCGATGGTTAGTGTCACACGGAGCCTACTTTTGCCTTTTCGTTTTAAGAATCTGTTTTATAGGGATACGTTTTATTTATCTATTCTACATCTTCAATAGTAGCACTATTGAATTGTAGAATCTCTAGTTAGTGGCTTACAAATTAATATATATGATCAGTCATTGTCAAGATTTTAATTGCCGGCTTTCATTTAGTGATTCTAATCGAACACGTTATTTCTCTAGATAATGAAAGATCAATTAGCTCAATTTTCTGTATAAGTTTATACTAGTAGCATTTTTTTTTAGTCGTCTGAGAATTCATTCAGTAGCAAAACCAAAAGGCAGATACAAAAACATATGGGATATTTGAAAGTATACTAATAGCTTATAAGATGATTATAAACATTTTGTATTTGATTCAAGTTAGGTCCATTACATGATTAATAAAAGAAAAGAAGAATTGTAGACAAACGAGAATGTTTTCAATTGGTTACTCAGTCATAACTATTGGTTTGATAGCTCTCCATTTCTTATTTAGAATTCCAAGATGGTTTTAAAGTTCCTCTCACTTACTTACAACAGAGCAAGTGAAGGCCCATTGGGTCAGAATTGATCTCCAAAAGATGGCTCCTAAACTAGCCCGTTAGTCGATCATGACAAGTGTGTAGAGGTGAAATGCAGAATGCTACATGGATCTCTATCCATAATAGTTGGTTTTAAATCCTGATCACTTCTTATTGTCTTTTTCGTTTTCTTAACATTTCCAAGACAAATAATGTTTCCGAACTCCAGTCTTAAACATCAGGTAAATGCATGTATAGATCACCAGAGTAGTATAGCTACAAAATTTACTACGTCAAAAAATAGTGGCAAACTTTTGTTATAAATTGATACAAATTAGTGATATTTTTTTTTTTTAAACAATTTGTAGTGATTTTTCTACAACCATTTAGTGGGACTTTTTAACAATAGTCACTAATATGTTGGCTACAAAATTGTAGCTAATTTATCACAAAAATTTTTGAAGTAAATTTGATCTAAATTATCATGATATTATTTTGTTTCGAATTTGTAGCATTTTTACTTCAGCTTATTATAGTACTTTATTTGCTATAATCACATTGTTATGAAAATGAAAAAGTTACGGATTTGTTAACATAGTTAAAAAAAATTCTGTAACTATGTTTCTCGTTTTTTGTAGTGAACTGCCATTTGTTAAGCAATGGTATACAGAAGTAACTTAAATCACGATTACTATATTTATAAGCCAGTCGTTAATTATATTTCAATTATGAGATTAGTGACTAGGTTCAAAGTTTTATACTGCATGTTAGTGATAGTAATCATTCAAGCAAAAGATAAATACCATCTTTTTCAGCATTTTATTTGTCCCCACGTTGAGACACTAGCTAGAACTTAGTGGGTATTATACGATCGATGTGCAATCCCATTATTCTCATAAAACTTGTGGTCTTTTTTGAACTTTAAAAGCTTTTTTATTGGTGGTATTTCTGAGGAAATATTTAAAATATTGTAATCTAGAAATTTTTCATTTAATTTCCACATGACAGTGTGTTTTTATTTGATTAGTCCGGATGAAAAAGCAAAGCAATGGTAGAAATTAAGCTTTAATTAATGTCTCAACTAGGCTTGGGCATTCGGGTATTCGGTTCAGTTCCGGGTCTTAACCGATCGGTTCCGGATCTTTCGGATATAGGATTTTTTTACTCATATAAGAACCGATAGTATATCGATTCGGTTTCGGTTCGGATCCAATCGGTTTCAGATCGGTTCGGATTTCTAACACAGGAACCATTTATAACCCGAGTAAATTCGATTATTATTCGATTTCGGTTCGGTTCGGTTATTTTTACCCATTTCTATCCGAAATATCTAAAAATTGACCCATTTACCCGAAATATAACAACAAACCCGAAAAAACAAGTTTAAACATACTATTTTTGACTCACATTTGATCCAAAATACCAAATTAAAATCAAAAGTGCTGAAAGCAAAGACACAGAACATGAAATAGAGTACAAAATGCAAACAATTCCAAGCTAAAAACATAAATAACTCATCTAAAAGGAAAATGTGAACCGATGAGTCTTAAAAGTTGAAAAAAGATTGAGCCGATGAGTGATATGAGTGATGAGTCTTCACAGTTCATTGTTCTCCAATCTCCATAATTCCTATACAAGTAAATGATATACATCAGTGGAAAAAACAACAAGAACACATAATTTCAATACAAATAAATAATCAATCTCAGTTACCTCATTGTCCTTGCATGTTGAATTCAGGTTCAAACTCTAAAACAAATTAAAGAACATAACTACATAAGTCTACAAAACACAATCGTAAATCAAATTAAAAGAGTTCAAAGAAAGAAAATTACCTCTCATAAGAGAATCTTCCACCTCCACATCTTCAAGAAGTTGCTCAATTGTAATCACTCCTTTTTCATTCATTCGAATTTCACATTTCAACCATTGTTCAATGCACATCAAGACTTCAACCATGTAAGGTGTCAAACAGCTCCTATATGGATCTAATACTCTACCACTAGTGCTAAATGCAGATTCTGATGCTACTGAGGACACTTGCATTGCAAGTATATCCCTAGCTACAAGAGACAGAACTGGGAACTTAGAACTGTTTCTCTTCCACCAATCTAAGACATCATACTCCGTACCTTTCATAAGCTTTGGATGCTTGACTGGTTCTTTCAAGTACAATTCTAACTCATTAACTGATTCTGAAACTCCTGATTGTTGCACAAGCTCCTCATAGAGATTATCTATTCTTTCATAACCAACACCATTACTAAAAACCATTCTCTCGAAAGCTTCATCTGTAACTTGATCTTGAGACTGAGATTGAGTATTCGATGTCCCTTGTGTCTGAGAAGAGTTTCCAGAACCAGAACCACCAGTTTTGTTAGCAAACCTATTGTACTCGTCAAACAAACTCTTCACAATCTTCTTGACGGTTTCAGAAAGTAGAACAAACTCGATGCTTTCTTTGCCATAAAGCTTTTCAAAACAGAGGTGAGCAAACTTCATTTTCTTCCTTGGGTCAAAGACACTAGCTACTATCAACAACTTGTTCATCTCACGATCTTGACATTTAGCATTTTCCCTTGTAGCATCATAGCCAATGCTTTGTACCTTAACTCTTCATCAGGACCTGCACTATTGCTGATTGCACTAATATTCCTACTGATGGTAACAATCTCTGCGTAGATCTTATGAGCAGTCACTGAAATTGAAGCTGACAGACTCAAAGTGGATTTGTAAAAGATGATAAGAAATTGAATCAACCTCTCAACTTCATCCCAGTCAGTTGTAGACGGTGGTCCGATCCTCTTCTTTCCCTCCACAATTTCTAAGAAATAGTCGTTATACGGTTTATCTTCAGCCTCCATCTTCTCAAATACCAATTTAAACTTCATAGCTTGATCTAGCATGAGATACGTAGCATTCCATCTCGTCTTGACATCTAAAGGTAAGCTTCCCCTAGTCATCTTTCCTGATTCAACTCGAAACTCAAATGACTTCAGTCTGTTTGTTGAAGATCTCACATATTGAATACCATTCCGAACAGCAGTGATACTGTCGTCTATCTCCATCAAACCCTCCTTCACGATCAAATTCAATATGTGAGTCGAACACCTTAGATGCAAAAAATTCCCATTCAGAACTAAAGCATCATCACCAACTTTACTGAATCCTTCCTTAAACCTCTTCATAGCAGATGAGTTAGCTGTGGCATTGTCTAATGTGATGCAGAAGACTCTCTTTATATCCCACTCTTCCAAACACTCAAGAAGAACCTTAGCTATTATCGCACCTTTATGATCTGAAACCGGTTTGAATCCTATGATCAGCTTCCTTAGCTTCCAACAAGCATCAATAAAGTGAGCGGTTATTACCATATAACTAGCTGAAGTATGGGGAGCAACCCATATATCCGTAGTCAAAGACAACCTCTGTTTGTTCTGTCCAAGAATATTCTTCATAGTTGCTTTCCTTGAAACAAACATCTCCACAATTTCTCTTGTGCATGTTCTCCGAGAATGAGGATTTGGCAGCTTCACTCTTGAGCAGAAATGTTTCCAAGCTAAACTCTCTACAAAGGCTAACGGTAATTCTGCTAATACCATCATCTCATTTGTAGCATCTCTAACGACTTTCTAAGACACCTTACACACTGCCAAATTCCCTTCCTTATCAGGAGTTATAACAGACTGCTTTTTAAACTTATTAGCAGCTATCCATACACTGTACGCCTTGCAGCCACCTAGATGTTTCTTCAGATTAGATGTGCCAGAATTGGTTGGACAAGACATCTTTCCCACAGTAATTGCAGTTGCATATATCGTAGTTCTCTTCCTTTCTGGTGTAGTGATCCCAAACCCAAGATCTTGGCTTCTTCCTTGACCCTAAACCAGAACCACTATCTCCCGTGTTCTCTTTCCTCTTCCCTTTATTTCCAGTATTAGGAGTTGGTGTTGCAACATCCTCCTCTGTTATATCAACAAACTCTTCATCATTGTTTAGAGGAGGAGATTCACAAGATGCCATCTACATCATAATAAAAATCAGACACATTAGTATACATAAGCAAAAAACAGAGACATTGGTATACATAAGAATGAATGACATTCGATTATATACTTAATACTTTAGAACACGGCCATGTGAGGATGAATGACATTCGACTATAAACAGAGAATGAATGATCACAACACTACTTTCATCATTTCATGTTTATATTGATATTACTAACTAATAACTCTTTAAGCATCAGAGATCATATAAACTTAGCAATTGATAGACTACTCCGAATCATTAATTTAGCAATGTGCCACTGATATTATTGCCTCTTAAACCCGAATTATTAACTATTTTGATTCACATATGCATAAAGCAGAAAGAGTAACAACTAACGAAAATCAAAAGCAAATGTGAAGAGATTAAAGAGAGACACATAGAGAAAGGGAAAGAGAGAACAGAGATAGAGAATCGAAGATACAAAGAGATTAAGACACAGTGAGACAGAGACGCATACCTCGGATTAGTTCCTCGACGATGCTGACGGTGGGGGTGAAAGAGATCCGACGAACTTAGATAGAGATTCCAGTTTGTATTTGTTTGAATTTTCTTTGATTGGGTAATAAGTGGGATGATTCTAAAAACCTGGAAAATCAATCGACACCGTGATAGAACCCGAGGCAAAGAGAAGATAGGTATAGATGTAAGGCTTAGGTTATTAATATCGGGTAAACCGATCGATTTCGGATAAAAATCGGATTCGAACCAATACCCACGGTTCCTGAACCTAAGACCCATCGGGTAAATATGTGATAACCGAACCCGATCCGAACCGGTTATTTTAGGTCAGTTCCGGTTCGGATTTTCGGGTCCGGGTTTTTTGCCCAGGTCTAGTCTCAACTTCTCTTTCTGAATATTTTAGTTTACGTACATAAAATACATTAAAAATCAAACAAAAGTGAAATGGCAAATTAGAAGGTGCATAATCCAGATTGATCCAAAATATGCTTTCCACACACTCCTTCTTATAAGATAGGACCCATTCTATAATAATATCTCATTTTCTTAAAAGTAATTAAAAACATTTCATAATAATAAACAATTTTCTTTAAAACCCGTTTAGTCGCAATTAGTCGCTTACTTACAAGACCATTCTTCTCTTTAAATCGACAGACAGAAAGTGTGACTGTTATAGTGAGAAAGAGAAAAAGAGAGATAGAGAGAGAAAAAAAGAGACAGAGAGAGAATGAGAATAAGTGATATTTTCTGCTCTTCTCCGGCATCAACCGCCATACGATCATCTACACTTCGACACGACGGAGAAGTTACCGGAGGCCGTAGATCCGTCGATAGTCACCGCCGGAGGCAAAACCCTAGTAACAATAAGGACAAAAACGTCCCATGCTTCTCTTCCCAAATGCCTTCTATCCCAATTCCTCGACCGATCATGAGCTGCAGAAACTCTTTTGAGTCTTCAAGTGGGTTTCGCCGGAAGATCACACACGGCGGTAACGTTCAAATTCGCCGGAAAAGCTCAGCTGACGTAAGCGACTTGAGGAGAACGAGGAGTTCTCTGCAAGAATCATCATCGTCGAGGTATCTTCTAAAGGATCATAAGTCTTTTAAAGAAGACGATAAGGATCTCTGGTTATCATCATCAGATCGTTCTAAGGATTTGGTTATTTTCCGTGAACGCAACGTCACTTCTTCTTCTTCTTCTTCTTCTTCTTCTTCTTCTTCTTCTTCTTCTTCTTCTTCTTCTTCTTCTTCTTCTTCTTCTTCTTCTTCTTCTTCTTCTTCTTCTTCTTCTTCTTCTTCTTCTTCTTCTTCTTCCTCTTCATCTTCCTCTTCTTCTGTAACCAACGTTTCATCGCCAGCTCCATCCACTGATGACCAGGTTTGATTAATTTTTCTTTAACCTAAGCAGTTTTAGGTTTAAACTAAATTTCATACTTTTAGCTGTATAATATAAGCATATATATACATTTATATAACAAGTGGTTCTCTTTCTTTTTTTGTTATTTATGTTATTTCATTCTACATATTTTTGTTGAATATCTTCTTTTTATTTTTTGGGCAGGTTGTGGTTTTGAGGGTATCGATCCATTGCAAGGGATGTGAAGGGAAGGTTAAAAAGCATATCTCAAAAATGGAAGGTACATACAAATAATTAGAGTATCTCTTCTTCATTCTACACAAAATGAATATCTTATCAAACCTTTAACCTAACCAGAATTTATATATAAAAATACAATTCAAATGAAGAACCGCAACGGATAGACGACCATATGTAGAATATTGTCTAATCTTATCAAAGAAAATTATTATAAAAACGGATATTGGTTAGGAGCTTTGAAGTTTAGTGATTTGACTTTTCCTGATTATCGGATGCATCTGAGGAACAACTTTTTTCCTTTAATATATTGTATCAAGAAAATATGGATAAACTAATTATAGTTGTTAAATAAAATTAACAGGGGTTACGTCATACACCATTGATATAGCGACAAAGAAGGTGACGGTGGTCGGAAAAGTAACACCTTTGGGAGTAGTAGAAAGCATCTCCAAGGTCAAATTTGCTCAGCTTTGGCCTTCCTCTTCTTCTCCTTCATTTCCTCACATTCCTAATCATTCCCTCCTCAAATCTTAGTTTTGTTTTTCTTCTTGTAATTTCGTCTAAAAGATATGGTTATTAGACATCAGTCATGTTGTGAAGCATAACCAATATCTGTTTTTAAACATATGTTTGAAGCATGTAATTTTTTTTGGGTGACATTTAACTTTCATTTTCTTTATGAAAACTTATCGATGCTTACAAAGCGCAAGTCGCATAAACTGATCTACACAATATTTAGTCATTTACATACGATAAACCTTATCCGCTGAGATATATATGTGTACATCTGTTATTTTTTCTTTTAACAAAAAAGAGTATTCATGAGCTTAATTTTGTCTGTTCAAACTTTAAGCTTTCTTGTGATATATTTGATCGAGGTTTATAGTATCTGAAAATCTATTTATGGTCACACCTTCTATTTCTGTATTGAATGACTACGTTTTGATTTGGCATTATCTTTACTATAACCAATTATTTTTGGTTTTGAATGTCTAAACTAAAATTTAAAATGTGTTTTCTTATGGATAACATATCTAAATTTCATATACTTTATAGTTTTTTTTTTGTTTTTTTTTTGACGTCAATAGATTTTAATTAGTTTGAGTTGATTTGAGGTATGTGTGCGTTGTTTGATCCTAAAGCTGATTAATAATTAACAATGACCAAAATACTACCTACGCACCGCGTAAAGTTTATCTATAAACCGGCCATACGAAATAATATAGGATGTTTTCGTTTGGATTATTACTTTTAACTTATATCGTTTGCTTAAGTAAAGTTGTTTGATATTATTATGTGGAGCAAATAATAATATCAAGATATTTGTATAGACACGTGCCATGCATAATTGTGGGGATCGGAGAAATTGAGAAAAAAGGTGAATAATGTGGATGCAAAACATGAGGACCATTGAATGTCTGGCGTGCTACCGATATTATATAGTTTCATAAACAGGGGAAAGTAAAACATTTAAATACAAATTATGATCAAAGTTTTTTTTGTTTGTTAAAGAAATTATGATCAAAGTTATCTTTTTCTATGGTGTCGTAGGGACATGTGCCGGTTTCAATCATATTCACGGTGGGTCGTATTTGACTCTAAGTGTTCTCTCAATATAACGACACTATGAAATGACATGTTTTAATGAATGATAGCTTTGCTTATTGACACTTCAAACGTGACATTTTTTGGTCGATCAAAGCTTCGGTTCAGTCACTTCTGTTTTTTTTTAGTCAGTGCAATATAAAACTGACGTATCAATTAATGTGTTCTGATAATAAAAATATAAAAAAATCTTATTTCATTTTGAACCGAAAAATATATCTTTTAAAATGGTGCAAGAGCTAGGTCAACGAATACACATGAAATCAGTATATAATGTATCAAATGATATGCAATTCTTCAGTATTGTTTTAAGTCTTTGTGTTGTGGAAGTTGTGCATAACTTTAGACTAAAACTCTTTGCGCGGCCAGAAAAGTATAAAAGCCAAAAGTTAAGAAAATTTGAATATACCATACGATTTTCTAAGAAAAAATTGGTACGCTGAGACGGCGATTTGTTTCAACAAATAAAAATTCATATCTAATTTGAGGATAAACATACTATATACGTCGACGTCAAAAGAAAAAGAAAAGAAAATAATATCTGAGTCTAGAATTCTCAAGAAACCATGTGGGATAAAACTTTAGTCTGTAAATATCAATGAAAATTTTAGATATTTTTCAATCTTTTAGAAAGGTACATTAAAGGTAACAGAAAAAATCGTAAAACATAATTGACAACAACAAAAAAATATGCTAAACATGGATCTCATTCAAAGAATTTGAATCTTGTCGATGAAAAACATGCAAGACGGGTTTATGTAAATATTAATTTATATTTGGGTATATACTAAAAAAAAAAATAAGTACATATCGGCTTTTAATGGCACGTACTATAAATTTGTTTCTTCGTAGCGCTCGATTATTTCAAAGACGTTGGACATACTTTTTGGAAAACAAATTACTTCGAATAAAGCTGGCTTATTGACCAGTACTGGCCGAAGAAAATGGCTTTAAACCAGCGGATAATTAAACTTAAAGCTATCCGAATTCAAGATTTTGTTCCCAAGTTCTTCGTACTTTCGTGGCAGTAAACCAACCCATGCTAGTTAGGTACTTTTAATTTATCAAAAAGAAAGAAAAGGGAGTTAAAATTATACAAATTCGTAACGGAAAAGTTAAACCTAGAATATTAAAATGACGATATAAATCTATATAATTTGAAAACTATTTTCTCTATAGAGGACTTCTTTCACAATTTCCACCATGCAAATCTCATCATTATATCATACATACCTCTTTCACGTTTCCCACCAAGCAAATCTGCAATGACGGCAACTAATGATAGAACATCATTATGTCACTTTTATAACATGACATGCCTTTGCTTCATTTGAGTCACAACTTGTAAAATCCGTTTGACATTTTTGTCTCAATGTTTTATCATTTCATTGTTCAAATGTGTCTTTTTGTTTGAACTTATTTAAAATTCTTTCCCTATTTTAGAAAAAAAACTATTTTAAAAAGATGATTTTTTTTCATTTTTCATGGTAATTCTTATCAAATGTTTTCTATTTTATTCTTATTATTTATCTTTTATTTATTTCAAGATAAATATTAAATAAAAAATAAAGGATAAAAATATCAATTTGTGATTTTTCTTAATAAATATAAAAGATCTAAAATAATCATTTTTTTAAATGGAAAGAATATACATTATGTCACTTTGGAGAGTGTATTAAAACTAAAATTTTAGAAGCCTTTATGGTTATTATAAAATTCTATATTATTTAGCTAATTATTTCTAAATGTCTTACCAAAAATATGTTATTGAACATAAAATTTATATAAAATTAACTAAAATCACTTAAACTTCTATGTTACTCAATCAAGAATTTGTAAAAACTATATAAAATCCATTATTATTATAAACATTTTAAATAGTGGATGTTAAAAAAAAATTGAGGGGGGAAGGGTGTATTGAAACTGAAACTCTAAAAGACTTTGTGGTTATTTTAAAATTTTATGTTATTCAACTAATGATTTCTAAATATCTTATCAAAATCTATGTTATTGAACATAAATTTACATAAAACCAATTAAAATCACTTAAACTTTCATGTTATTCAACAAGAATTTGTAAAAAAAAAATTAACTCCACTGTCATTAGAAATATTTTAACTAGTAGATTTTAGAAAATATAGAGTATTTTTAGATGATTTGATGGAGTTTGTTAGTTAAAAATATAACATATCAAATCCCACTTATTTAGGTGAGATTTCATATAATTTTAAAATCAAATCATATCAACTTACCAAATCAACATAAAATCATCTAAAATTTCATTAAAACTCAAATCTTATCAAATTTTCTCAAACTACATTTTGAATACGCCCTTTATCTCTCACTATTGAATTGATGTAAGAGTTATTGGGCTTTGTGGTCTGTTTTAGGCTCATATGATCTTTATCGAATCCTTCTGTTTCTAGAGTTGTCCAAGCCCACAACACCTCTAAACTTTAATAAATATTATTATTAATAAAATAAATCTTATTAACGCTCTATAAATTAGTTTTTTCTGTTGGCCTATAAATTAGCTAATAATTTAATTAAATTTATTTATTTTTTGTTAAAAAAATATCTATTAAATTTGATATATGGTAATTATACAGCGAAGTGAATCGGTAATAAATTTAGATTTTATTGGGATCCATTTTACCGGGTTGAATTAGGACGTGCCACGTAGACCTAGGCTACAACGGACACTGACACACGCCACGCTAGCTCGGCCGATCCACTCCCGCGCACTGTGTCGGGACAGTTGGCGGACTTCTCCTAACATGCCAGAATGATGACTCCCACCTGCTCCCCGGATACGTGGCTCGGAAGGGACATGACAAGAGAATGGCGAGTATAAATAGATGGAGAACCCTTCGAAGGATGGAGGGTGAAAAGAACTCTCTCCTAAGAGTCTGGCGTACAGGAGGAGGGAGCAGGGAGGCGAGAGCCCGTCTCCCAATATCTGAGACAATATTCCCGTCCATACAGCAAGACCACGGGTGGATTCCGCGTTCCACCCGGACGGTTGCCGACCAGGTTAAATTATCTCTGACTTGGAACCCTGCCTTCGTACCCGCAACATCCCCTTTTTTTATGAATAGGAACCCCTCTTGAAACACTCTAAACAAGACAGGAGTCTCGAACCTCGGATGAGCCTCCCAACGATTAAACCATAGAGAATTCCCCCCTCCCCCCGAGTATCTATTCCCGGTACGGCGCTCACTAACTTGGGCGTCGGAGAACCTCAGGGAGGGAAACCCCCTTTCGGTCCTTTCCGAAGGCTTGCTTGACATTTGTTTAAGTGCTTTCAGGATCCCCGCTGCATCGCGACAGGAAGCTTCCGCTCGAGGACGACGATTCGCCGCCTTTCCCCACAGGACAGAACTCGGAGACCCAGCTCCATCCCTAACAAATCATGACCTCCCAAGTGTCTTCCCGAAATTTGATCCCGAACAGTTGGCGCTAGAAGGAGGGGGATCACCAGCAAGCATTCCACGAAGGAAGCAAAGCATCCGAAGGTAGCTGCGCAGAGCGCGCGGGTCGAGCAGGCTACGGATCTGCTCAACACTCTCGGGACCCTCGCGACCATTACACGTATTGGTCCAAAATCGAGACTCCAGATCCGCGACGCGAGATAAGACGCAAAAGGTGCAAAAGACGAAGCTAGGCGAAATAAGTTAAAGCAACGATACTTTTTTAAAAAAAAAAGACAGGCCAAGATGGCCACCGGTTTGAGTTCAGAGATGCAAGTTACAAGAGGAAAGAGTCCCCAAAGCAGAAGTAATTTAAAAACCCGACGGACGTGAAGGTCCCGCCGGTGAAGAAGGGCGCGTGTCATTAGCGTCTCCATCCACCCCTGAAGTGCCCAGCCCCCGCGATCTGCCGCGTCTCCGCTCTTCCTTAAGCTCCCGCCTCAGCGTGCAAATCGTGGT